AAGGAAATGAAAGATGTACACATGAGTATAAATGATATACTGGGTTTGTGGATACTCATGCTATCCAAGTACAGTGCATCGTTTTTATTTTTATCATTGTTTTGATTTTCAAAATGGTATACACATTGTTCTTTTTTGCTTTTATTTCTTTTTAAGGCCTAATATGTTATACTGGTTGAGGGAGGTGGGTGGGAAAGGAACCCAATGGCAAAAGCAGTCCGTTTGCTGGGAATTATTTTTCCACGTGTTGTTTTCGTGGCAGGTAGGTGGGAAGCAACCCACCGCTCTGCTTAGCAAGCAGCTGCTACGTCCAGTGGTTGCTTCCAGATGTTCGGGTAAAAGCGTCACGGAATCTCCAGCTTGTGCATGTTGTTCAGTGTGGATTAAATGACAAAACATGACTCTGAGGACTCCCAATGTCACACACACACACCCGTGTGAGGATGAAGGCCTGAGTAGGCCTGTATTCTGATCTCTCAAACACACCAGCTTCCAGTTTTAACAGCTGACTGGTTGAACTGGGCCAGGACCTCCAAAAGGCTCTGTCACTCACAGCTCTGGTCAAGTCTTGCAAACTCCAAACTCGTGGCTTCCTTTACAGAGCCAAACCATCTCGTGGGCGTTCCTTCCTCTTTTCCTGCCGCCTTCACTTTTTCCTAGCGTGATCGTCTTGTCTTTTTTTCCCCCGCTGTGCTTCCTCCCTTCACCTTGGGATTCGTGGGAGGGGGAAAAGCGGCAGGACTCTTGTAAGGACTGAAGCGGCCAGGAGGGGGCGGTCGTGCAACCCCTGCTCTCCCGCCCGCCCCCGCAACCCGTCCCTGTAGCTCCGCCTTTAAAAATCCCAGGCGAAGAGGAGGAAGCCGGGAGGAAATGTCTGGATTGGTGCAATAACTACGTGTTGTTTTTTTTCGCCTTTTAGCCAGACTGTGTCTCCTTCTGGGAAAGTATTGTTGGGCGAAGACTGAGCTGAAGCCCACGGAGACCGTCTTTCCCGAAGAGGTGAGTTGGAGCTTGATCGCCGTACTAAGAGTCACACAGCGTTCCTCGGCGCAGCTGGCATGGTTGCGGAGCTCCACAGAGTGCAGCGGCGCTGGTGGTGGGCAGGAAGCAGCACGTGGCTGCATGCACGGGAGGAGGCGTGTCTGGAGCAGGGCAGAGTCGTTTGCAAGAGCTGGGGAAAAAGGGAAAAATGACTTTTTTTCCCCGACTACAGTTCCCAGAATCCCCCAGCCAGCTGTGCTGGGAGTTGTCCTCCAAAAAGTGTCACGGTTCCCAGCGCTGGTTTGTTGTATCAGCGCTGTACAATTGGAGAAGATCATCTGATCTGGGGTAGGCACTTAAGAGCTCTTTGGATGCTGTCGGACTTCATCTCCCAGGATGCTTTGCCCTCGGCCAAGCTAGCATGCACTTTTGGGAGTTGAAGTCCAAAAGATCGGGAGGACTTGGAGTGGAATATAACAGTGGTTCTTAACCTTGGGTTACTCAGGTGTTTTTGGACTGCAACTCCCAGAAGCCTTCACCACCAGCTTTGCTGGCTGGGGTTTCTGGGAGCTGCAGTTCAAAAACACCTGAGTAACCAAAGGCTAAGAACCACTGGATTATAAACTGCCTCTCCCCCGCCCCTCCCCCGGACTCTTAGCATTCTGTGGGGAATATAAAAAGATGATTTATAGCTAGAGGCACTCTGTGTGTGTGTGTGTTATTCTTCAAAATTTGGGAGATGCAGTTCATGAAGGTCACCTCCCACACCTTTATCAGTCCCAGGCCTTTCCATCTGCAATATACAGGTAGCAGAGTGTCGTGAACTAGGAAAACCAAGGTTCAGATCCTAGATCAGCCCTGAAATAACTTTGGGCCAGTTGCTATTTTTCAGTCCGGCATACCTTGCAGGGTCGTCGTGAGGATCAAAAATGGGGAGGATAACCCTAAACATTTCTCAAAGCTCACTGGAATAAAGGTGGGCTGTACATGTGAGGTACAAATAAATAAAACAGAGGAGAGTTGTAAAATCTCCCATTATTTTTCATAGTCTACATTGTGGGGATAAACATTAGTGCTTTTTTCCCCACAAGGGATATACTTTTATGCTTTTTGGTGGTTCTCATGAAGCTGATTTTGCTTCAGGGCTGTTTTAAGTTTGTGGGACCTAAATTTCAACTTCTTTTGAAATTTGCTGCCTTGCAACAGGAAAATGGCTTCCTATACCAGTGGGTCCTAAGTCAAATCAAGCCTAAATGTTCTCCAGCCATCTCCTTTTGGAGGCAAAAACGTTGAAACGGAGGCCATCCTGAAATTTGGGTACATCACGAGAAAGCAGGATTCTCTCGAAAAGACAATAATGCTGAGAAAGATGGAAGGCAGTAGGAGAAGAGGAAGCGCTAATATGAGATGAATTAACTCCCTAAAGGAAGCCACAGGCTTGAGTCTGCAAGAGCTGAGCTGTTGAGGGCAGGACATTTTGGAGATGGTTCATTCATTGAATGAGTTGATGATGACTCGATGGCCATAGTAGTCTCTGAGGGCTTGTGTTATCAGGATTGCCTCAATGGGTTAAATAATAGTTTCTTTGAAACTGGGGTCCAGGCTATCTGATGGACCGTATCTCCCCATATAACTCTCCTCAGGTCTTGAGATCATCCAGAGAAGCTCTTCTCCTGGCTCCATCATCTTCGCAGGAATGCTTGACCTGAATGAGAAAGCAAGCCTTCTTGGTAGCTGCCCCCCATTTATGGAATGCTTCCCCCCCCCATGAAGCTAGGCTGGGGCCCCTCTCCCCTCTTTTCAGCCATAATGGGAAACATTAGGGGTATAAATTAAATAAATAAATAATAATGGGAAACATTTTTGTTCCAGCCAACATTTAGTATCTAATATCCTGCCAATATGTCTTTTTTTAAAAAATTCATGTTTTAAAATACCTTTAATTTTTTTTTATTTTAAGTTGTCCACTTTTAATAAATTTTTTTATGCTTCTTGTGTGTCGTTTTAATTCCTGCCTCTTTTCATGGATCTGTGAGCCACCTCGAGTCTTCTTGCTCGGAGAAAGCTGGCCTAGATCTGCAGTAAATAAATAAAATTTCTCTCTCTTTTTTAACAGGCAGAACCTCCTTAGCTCCCAAGCAGTGTTTGGGATTTCTGGGGGGCCTGTGACACGCGTACCTCTTTTGTCGCCCAGTAAATTTCGCCAACCCGTACGGATCGTTTTCGGGAGTGCTATAAACCCAACCAAGAAAGCAAAGTTTCTGTCCTTTTCTGTCTTCCTCTCGAGAGAAGAGGAGCTTTTGGTGAGGAACAAGCTTTGGGTGCACGGCCATTGCTTGCTCCCTTCTTTCTAGAACTGGATAGAAGGTTTAGGAGGGAAAGCCATGAAGGAGGAACGGGTTGGAGGTCTGGACTCAGAAGGAGGACAAGAAGGTCGAAGGACATCCTCTTGGGCAAGACAGCCTGACGATGTGGCGGAGGAAGTGAGGTGGGGAACGTCCGAAGGGGTCAGGTGGGAACTGGGCCAAGAAAGGCCGCAGCCCTGGGAAACCAAGTGGCCAGAGTTCCGGAGGACGACGCAACTCATGGACACTAGACAAGAAGATCCTTCAAGGATGGAGGTGGACCCCTGGGACAATAGCAGAGCTTTCCTGGCCTCCTTCGAGGAAGTGGCCAAAGCCTGCCGGTGGCCCAGAGGAGAGTGGGCGGCCTGGCTTCTCCCAGCCCTGAGCGGAGAAGCGGAGGAGGCCTTTCAAAACCTAGAAGCCGGAGACAGGGAGGATTATGGGAAAGTGAAGGCCGCCATCTTGCGAAAGGAGGCCCTACGGATGGAGAAGCAGCGCCAGCATTTCAGGGACTTCTCCTGCCAGGAGGTTGGAGACCCCCGGAGGCTTCACAACCAACTCCAAGAGCTTTGCCACCGGTGGCTGAGGCCGGAGAGACGCAGCAAGGAGCAGATCCTGGAGCTGCTGATCCTGGAGCAGTTCCTGGCCAGCCTTCCCCCGGACCTCCAGGGCTGGATCCGGGCGGGAGGGCCCGACACGTGTTCCCAGGCCGTGGCCCTGGCGGAGGACTTCCTCGTGAGCCAGCAGATGGTTCAGAAAGAGAAGTGGCAGGTATGGTTCTCCTGTTCTATTCCCAAAAGGTGTAACAAGGCACAAAATGGTGGGGTTCTCACTTGTTTATGAACCTGTGCTGGCCGGGATTTCTGGGAGTTGTAGAATCATAGAAAAATGATGCTGGAAGGGACCTACAAGGCCATCAAGTCCAGCCCCGTGCTCAAAGCAGGAATCCAAATGAAAGCATATCTGTCAGGTGATTATCTAAGCTTTTCTTGAATGCCTCCAGTGTTGGAGTACTTACCAACTTCCGAGGTCACTGGTTCCTCTGTCATACCACTCTAACAGTTAGGAAGTTTTTCCTGATATTCAACCAAAATCTGGCTTCCTTTAAATTGAGCCCGTTGTTGCGTGTTCTGCACTCCAGGATGATCCAAGAACATCCAGGCATCCAATGCTGAGAACCAAAACACTAGGTGAATCTGTAATTTTTCACACTTTTTTTTATTGTGTACAACAGGACCTTATTAACATGAAGGAGGCAGTCGTATCTTTGCAGGTGGTCGGGCAGACGCCAGGGCAGGCCAGCCCAGAGACCATGTTCTGGCAGGTCCTGGAGGTGAAGGATGAGAAATTGCTGGCTTCAGGTAAGCTTCTCTTCTGCTGATGTACGGTAAGATAACGGCCTTTATTTGGACACGAAAGGAGCCTGTAGAAGAATAGGCAGAAAGAGAGATTCTCTTGTCTAGGTTTCTCTAGGGCTGAGGAGGGAGTTCTGTTTTGTGAGTCTGCCTAGTCTCCCCACTTTCTCAGGCCAGGATGTTGATCCCAATGAAAAGCAGAGCCTCTCTGCTTTTCTGGGATTCCAGGCCTAAACTTTGTCTCCTTCATTGTTGCTGTTCCAGTTGTTGTTATGTGCCATGAAGTTACTTCCAACTTATGGCATCCCTAGAAATGAGCAATCTTCAGGATGTCCTCTCCTCAACGGCCCTGCTCTGTTCTTGCAAACTCAAACTTGTGGCTTCCTTTAGCGAGCCATTCCATCTCATATTTGGCCTTCCTCTTTTCCTGCTGCCTTCCACCTTTCCCAGCATTATTGTCTTTTCCAGAGAGTATGTTAAGGCCACTTAAGTAAAGCAATGATGGCAAAAAAACAATACACCTCTTAGTGACATATTAAGGGACACAGCTTGCACTTGCTTATTTCAAAGGGCTACATGTATGTTCCATTGGACCTCAGAAAACTGGAAAGATGAAGCCCTGAACAATTTTGTGAGACTCTCAACTTTCATTTAAGGGGGAAAAGGGGCGTTTAGCCTGAACAAATATAAAGATAGGCTTGCAGATGTTTAGGAAAAGCCAGTGGAAATGTCAGAAATCACGGGGTTTAGCTGGAGAAGCCATCCACGCAGTGCCTGAGGTGAGATTTTGGATCCTTGCGTCATTCCTACATAAGCAAAACCCAAGGCTGTACCTTTGTACCCCCTTACCCTGGAAACAAGCCCCACAGAATTCATTACTCCCTATTACTAATTGTCTTTTCCAGAGAATCCTGCCTTCTCAGAATGGGCCCAAAAGCAGGACAGCCTCAGTTTCAACCTTTTTGCCTCCAGAGAGAGTTCAGGCTTAATTTTATCTACGACCCACTTTCTGGCAGTCCACAAAGTTCTCTTCCAGTGCCACATTTCAAATGAATCCTTTTTGTTTGTTTGTGTTTTTTTTGTTGTTGTTGTTCCTGTCGCTTCCTTAACTTTCCTGTCAGTTTTCACACACATACTTTCACAGTGCACAGGAGTGCACTGGAAATGAAATTCAGAGTTCTGAGGGTTGTAGTTCAGCAGCCCAACTCTGCCACACCATTACGTTGCTCAACCCAGATTACATTCAGGACGGAAAGCAAACAAAAAAAAAGGGGGGGGGAGGAATAAAAATACAAAATAGCAGAGAGGCTTCGGTTTAGCTGGAAGGGAGATGGGACAGAATGACATCTCAGCAGAAAGAGCTTCACAGAACTCCAAGATGAACTCAATACAGCACTGGACAAACTTCCTCTGTCTGTTTCTGCAGGTCACAGAAAAGGAGATCAGCTCAAGGTAGAGAATCCTCAGGATGCCGGGAACGAGCAAGAGAAAACACCCAGGACAGCGTCTGAGGCAAACCGAAGAAATGTGGCGATACCAGCAGAGACATCCAAGCCAAGATGTAATTCTGAGAGGGGGCTTGGAACGGCACCTCTAAAGGCTCACAATGAATCCCCCGAGTGTTCGGAAAGTCTTGGAGCCGATTGGGGCGAAACAGATGCAGAGGAGAGGAGCAAAGATGGCCGAAATGTCACCAAACCTGAACTTGTTAGAAACAATGCTGGAGAAAAACACAACAATAGTTCTGTATTGAAGGGAAACGTCCAACTGATGGATCCTGATCAACCTGAAGGAAGGCATGTCGGAACGCAGTCGTATGAAGCCTCCGTGAGCGGGGAAGGCTTCAAAACAAACGTCCAGAAAGTTAGCCTTCTTCGACCTCAGAGAGGCCGTACAGGAGAGAAACCTGACCTTTGTCCTGAATACGGGGAAAGCTTCCTCTGGGGAGCACCGTTGGAGAGACATCACAGCATTCATGCCGAACAGAAGCTTTTTGACTGCCCCGAGTGTGGGCGAAGCTTCTCTGACAGGTCAAATCTGTTGAGACATGGGAGAGTTCATACCGGGGATAAACCTTACGACTGCCCGGATTGTGGGAGGAACTTTGCACGGAAAGAAGGCTTGATCATGCATCACAGAATGCACACGGGAGAGAAACCTTACGAATGTCATGAGTGTGGGAAGAGCTTTCCCTGGGGATCGGACCTGTTGAGGCACCGGAGGACTCACACGGGAGAGAAACCTTACGAGTGCCGAGAGTGTGGGAGGAGGTTCTCTCAGAGGTCAAAACTGTTGAGCCACCAGATGACCCACACTGGAGAGAAGCCGCACCAATGTCTCCAGTGTGGGAAAAACTTCTGTCGGAAAGACGGGTTGGTCAGCCATCAGAGGACTCACAGAAAAGCTGAGAATGCCCTGACTGAAGGAGGATCGGTGGCCACACAGGAGCATGGATTAATAATTATATAATATTTATTATTTATTTTTATTACGCTCTACACCAGAGTGCATTCCAATAAAATCAATAATGTACACAAACATACAACAGAACATTTAACAAGCACCTTAATATTATGTGTATATATGTGTCTGTTTCTGTCTGTTTATACACTCACGCTCACACAATAGGGCCCCCCGTATTGGTTCCAAGCTTCCCCGCGGATGCTGAAGAACATGGATTAGAGGGAGCGAACAAGGTCTTAATGGCAGCACCCCAGGTTGTGAGCAGTGTTTTGAGTACAGTCATGAAGGTGCAGAGGGAGAGAATTCCACAGCATTGGAGCCAAGTGGGAAAATGCCTGCATGCAATAAAATCCTTCAGTTCCAAATATCACGCTCTTTAAGAGACAATCCTGATCTGGTAAGCAGTTGGTTTCTGAGCTTTCAAAATAAGGTGTTTAGTGGCCGAAATCACTTAGCATAGCAAATCACATTCTAATTGGTCCATTGGGTCTACCCAAATGGTGATTTACTTAAGTTGCAGGCAGGGAAGGCGCCCATTTGACTGAGTGAAAATTAAGGAGGAGTTGATTTTCTAAATCCCTATTGATTCAGTGGGCCTACTCTAGTGCAATTTACTACGTCCTGCATCTTCTGGAGAAAATGGGAGCCCAGAACTCTCTGGTGGGGCACTCTTGACTTGTGCAGTGGTAAGCCCGAGATCATGTGGAGCAAAGAGCTGGCCTGGTTGCCAACAAGATCCTGGCCCAGTCGGTTGCATTCAGTGAGTTAGGAGTTGCTCCCATCGGACACAGAGGCTGCTTCCTGATGAATCGGCATACATTGACCGGGGGTGGTGGTGCTAAGATATGTTCACATCTTTATTGTGGCTTTTCGGTTCTATTAACAGCACCCAACATGGGCAGCCAATGGAGAAGGGGGCACCTCATTGTGTAATTCTGGGCTGAAACACTCTCCTCCCCTAATGAGAATATGTGTGAGCCATCTTGTATAGAAAGCTGATTTGTATAAAATTAGACGGCTGATCTTTATAGCCCGGCATTGTTGGTTCTGACTTCTAGTAGCACTCCAAGGTCTTCTGTGTATATCAGTTCCTTCTGAGATCGATTGATTGTTTAATGAGAATATCTTAATTTATTGCGTTTTTATACAGATATTTTAATTGTACATTGCCATGTGTCCCTTCATGAGAAGAAAGGCAGGCATAAAGAGGTTTCTTTTAAAAGTAAATAAAATAAATACTGTACACAGAATTTAAGAGCAACAACGTTGTGGATCAATGAGACGTAGTATTTTCTCACATCAGAGCAATACCTCCATTAAATAATAATACGTAATTAAAAAGAGCAGGAGACAGATTGTGAGAACTTTGTTCAACAAAGGGACACCCTTTGTTGAGGTGTGTCGTCCAGATAAAGTCAGATTTAAGGTATTTAAAGCCTACAGAGACTGATGTTTTTCACAAGGCATTGCTGCTCCCCAGGTGACCAGCAATATGAAGTGAGATGTTGCCCTTCATATAGCTCCTTCCTTGGGAGGATAAGCATGAAGGGATTCTTTAAAATAATTCATCATGTCAAAGATTATGCGATTTTCCATAATCGGACAAAAATCCAAGATGTCTTCCTCAACTGAGTTCAGCATCCACAACACAGGAGAATCTTCAAAACCGTAAACCAAGTTGGCAAGGGCTTTAGAAGTCCAACTGGCAACAGCAGCTCCGGCCTTGTCAGCTCTCCCACTTTTTGTGAGATTCAAACCTCTTACTCTCAGCCCTTCTCTGTCTTGGTCCCACCCCTCTGAGCTGAACCAATATTTTATAGGAGGGGTGACACCACTCGCTCATGCCTCGTTCTTTCCTCGGGAGGCACAGTGGGGAATCAAACTTCTGAACGCTGGAGTCACAACCAGGCAACAGATGGTACTTTCAAACACTGTTAATAAGGAACAGCAATGGATTGCTTCCAAGCTACTGTAATGAGGAACTGGAGCAAATTCCTTTTTAAAAAATGACTTTCCAAACTCTTCTGTCACTTCCAAGGAGGCTCACCGCCTTCCAGTCGCCTTTCGAATTGTTTCCTCCATTTTGAAATTTTGTTGCTCAAAAATTGCCCTTCTATTGATTCAAGGCCTTTTGGCCAGTTTTGCCATGTTTTGACCTTGGCTCCTCACACTGTCCCCCAAATATTTTTATTTTCTTAAACAAATGTTGACCACTAATTGATGTGGAAGACACAGGAGCACCCATCCAGAGCTAAAAATTGCCCACCCTTGTTTTCTCCAGACTTTTTGATCTTTTCAGGACATCCTTCGAACTATAATCTTAACCAGAGTGAGAATTTTGTTTGTTAGTTCACTGCACTGGGTATTCCTGCTACGAATTAGTGGGCTTTATTGAGTCAGTCAATCCCTCTCACCTGAAGTCTTCCTCTTTTCCTACTGCCTTTCACTTTTCCAACCATTGGTGTCTTTGCCAACAAAAAGAGAGGGGAAAACTCCAATACAATGCTTGTATACAATCTGAAGCTGGGGTGTGTGATACCTTTCCTAGATCACTATACTGTATATTTGTGATTTTTTGTGGCCTAATAAAGATATCACCACCCCCACCCAAGATCATCCACACTATTCTATATCATGTATGTGTCATATGATCACCAAGTATGGGTGTGAAAGCTGGACAGTAAAAAAAGGTGACAGGAAAAAAATTGATTTGTTTGAAATACGGTGCTGGAGAAGCGCTTTGTGGATACCCTGGAGCACCAGAAAGACGCACAAGTGGGTCCTAGAGCAAATCAAGCCTGAACTATCTCTGAAAGCCAAAAAATGTTGAAACTGAGGCTGTCCTATTTCGGTCACATCCTGAGAAGGCAGGATTTTCTGGAAAAGGCAATCATGCTGGGAAAGGTGGAAGGTCGCAGGGAAAGAGGAAGACCACATGTGAGATGGATCGATTCCCTCAAGGAAACCACAGGCTTGAGTTTGCAAGAGCCGAGCAGGGCCATTGAAGACATGACATTTTGGAGATCACTAATTCATGGGATCGCTCCAAGTCAGAGATGACTGGAAAGGCACATAACAACAACACTACCCACCCTTGCCTTTAGATTGCCTAGGCACAAAGTTGAATAGCTGTCAGAATGTGGCCTCACATGCAAGCAACCGCTTTCCGGTCGTCGTCGTCCCCCCAATTGCTTTCGTTCACATCATCCCTGAGGAAGAAATATGTGTGATCCCGAAAGCTTGCAAGATTGTGTGTATGGAACTGGCTTTTTTTGCCAACGGTCTGATGAGCCCTCCCGCCTTCCTTGCACGCCCTGCAAGACGGCAGCCTTCTGCAAAGCAAAGCAAATGAGGAGGTGGGGAGAGTTTAAAAAGGGAGAAAAATGGGGGGGGGAAGCATCTGCCACAGGAAGTAACGCCAAGCGCCGACTTTCCTCTTCCTCCCCTTGCAAAGGAAAAAAAAAGACTGCAAAAAAAGAGGGGCCGGGTCCCTCACAAGGCGCCCGCGGATTCCTCCTCGAGGACCGGCGGGATCCCAGCAGCCTTTCCCTCCCAAAAACAGTGAGTTTAAGGCAAGGTTTCCCGCCACTCCTCCCGAGACAAATAGCTCCTTATTTTCCAGCGTTATTGGAACGCCGTTATCGGCCGTTCTGCTTCTCCCTGCCCTCCCTTTCTGAGGCGAACCTCGTTGCTGTCTGCCAAGAGCAAAGGGAAAACTCAAGATGGGGACCCTGAGGCAGAGGAAGGGCTGGCTTGGGAACACAGAGGCTTGCAGGGATATTTGGTTACTGGTAGCCCGTTTTCCAGGACCGAGGGTGATAGACTGAGTCCTGGGTTCAAGTGCTGCCCATCCATGGAAAACCTACGGGAGAGGTGGTAATGGCAAACTCTGACCTGTCCTGAATGTCCTGTCTTCAACTGCCCTGCTTGGCTCTTGCAAACTCAAGCTTGTGGCTTCCTTGAGGCAGTCAGTTCATCTGGTATTTGGCCTTCCTCTTTTCCTGCTGCCTTCCACTTTTTCCAGCATGATTGTCTTTTCCAGGGAATCCTGCCTTCTCAGGATGTGCCTAAAGTAGGACAGCCTCAGTTTCAACATTTTTGCCTCCAGAGAGAGTTGAGGCTTGGTTGGATCCAGGACGCACACTTGTGTGTCTTTCTAGCAATCCAGCGTAGTTGCAAAGCTTGGTTAGATCCAGAGCCCCTCTCCTCTATCTTCACAGTATGTCAGGCTTGGATGGAAACCAGGGATTTCCCACTCCTCCCAGGCTAAATGACCAGAAATCCTATTGGTTGTTTGTGCTTGTGACATAAGTGTAAATAGCAATTGTGAATTGGTGCCAGCAGTCTACTGGTGTAAAGGGCAGTGGTGAATTAACACTTGTATTCCTTGTGGTACCCCAGTTGTGTGAGAGATAAGCAGCAGTTCATAATTGTTGTATAATTGTTGTATAATTGTTATAGTGACCCTAATAGGGCTCTACAGGCAAGTGAGATATTTAAGGAACAGTCTTACCTGTTGCACTCTTTCAAGGAGTTTCCATAGCTGAGTGAGGATTTGAACCCAATCCTTGTCGGTCACTCTATCCACTGCACCCACACTGGGTAGTCCTAGCAACTCATGAACTATCAATTTGCTGCTGCAGTTTATCCCATTGTGCTTGTTATGTGTTATGTACCATGAAGTTACATCTGACTTATGGAGATCCTAATAGGATTTCCAAAGTGTGTATGTGAGATGTTCAAGGAGTGATTTACCACTGTGGCCTCCCAGTGAGTTTCCTTCGCTAAGGACAGATTTGAATCCCAAGTCCTTCAATCTAGCTGCTACACTACACTGGCCTGTGATTACATCTAGGCAGGGGCGGGACTCGATGAGGGTCCCTTCCAGCTCTGCAGTTCTAAAGTTATTTATTATTATTCTTCAAGGACACTAGGCGCGGTCAATCAAAATGATAAAAAAAACATTGACTGGCATTATAGAACAGATACAAGTTTTAACTAAAAACCTAAGTATCTGTTAAATATCAGCACAGTGTGTATGATGATGATTAAAAGACAGTATTTAAAGCAAACGCCAGTGGGTATACAAATATTAAAGAGGATTTGAAGAAATACTGTACCAGACTAAGAAACGGTAAACAAAAGCAACATCAAAACGCATTCAAAATAATAAGGTACAACAATCTATTTGAAAACAGACACTCTTCACTGATTTTTAAATCCCTGAATTTGTTTTTAATTGTTGCTCTAAATCAATTAATCAGAAACCTGTGGCCTTCCACTGTTTGGACTCCGGATCTCATCCTCTCAGCTAGCATGGCCGGAAGCCTGTAATGATGGGCCTCATAAATATCTGGAATATCATTGACATAGACAGCAGGGAGAGAAACCATGTTCCCTTCCAGAAGGATCTGGCACCCCAACTCCTATCGTCCCATACCACTGGCTAGGCTGGCAAGGGATGATGGGAACTGTAGTCCTCAAAATATTTGGTGGGTCATGGTCTCCCATCTGTGTTATAGAGGAGGTTATGACATACCTGTGTGCCAGGTATAGCAGTATCAGAGGTGGAAAGCCATCTGCGTTTTAAATGAATTTACATTACGGTATTTCCCTGGCTCTACCACTTTCATCTGCCCAGTTTGCCAGAATCCTGATAACCCGCCTGTGAAACTTCTAGCAGCATATTGATGCAAGTGAAGATGTTAGCATAGGCATTTTGTGTCATGTCCAATTTTGTGCTGACTCTGGGTGTGACAACGAATACCTATTCTAACTTATCTCCTTGTGGCAGTTGGCCACTGCAAATAATGCTGCTGGTGTTAAGCTGGTGGAAATGTATACAGTGGTGCCTCGCTTAACGAGGATAATCCATTCCAGCAAAATCGCTGTAGAGCAAAATCCTTGTTAAGCAAAATAAAAAATCCCATTGAAACGTATTGAAAACCCATTCAATGCGTTCCAATGGGCTGAAAACTCACCGTCCAGCGAAGATCCTCCATAGGGGCGGCCATTTTCAGTGCCTGTAAAGCGAGGAATCCATCCAAAAACACAGCAGGGAGCCATTTTACACAGCGGGCGGCCATTTTGAAGCCGCCGATCAGCTGTTTTAAAAACATTGTCTAGCGAAAAATCAGTTCCCGAAGCAGGGAACTGATCGTCGGGAAGCGAATTTTGCCTAGTAAAACATCGTACAGCGGTTTCGTCATTTAATGAGGCAATATTT